ACACAACAACAAACCATGAAATACACAACAACAAACAATGTTACACAGAAATCGGAGGTGAGAAACAAAAATCGTGAGCCAATAGTCGACTCAGTTGTAAACGGATTACCACTTACCTCCGATTTCTGGTGGAGAAGTCGACTCGGAGGCGAGAAACAGATATCGTGCAGTCACAGAGAAGACTGTTAAGTTGTAAATTTGACAAATTTATAAATAAATATTTATTACTATAATGGTCGTTGAAGTTGTTTGTATAAATATGAAAAAATGGATGTTGTTAAATTGACATCCAATAAACACTCTTAATAATTACTTATTGAAAATCATTTTTTTTCTATTCAAACTAATTACTTATTCAAAATCATTTTTTTTTCCATTCAAACTAATATGTGGTGCAAAACAAAAATTAATAACTAAATGTCATTTTTTTTAATGTGATGAATATTTGATTTATAATTATTTGCAATTTATTAAAACCATTTTCTTTTCTTTCGAGGCTACAACCACTTTTTTTTTATATACTAGTATCGATAACAATAACGTGTTTCATTCTAATAAAATATTTGTATTATCATGATTACATAATAATAGAGTTTAAGGATAATATTTATAAAACTTATTTATTGTTTGTCATTGGTTTTGAAATATATATTTATGTATGTCTTTTTATAATTAATTGAATATTCCTCTTTAAAAATAATCTTTTTATTATTTTTAATGTTTATATAATAATCTTTAAAATATGTGTGTTGAGATTTATTATTGTTTGTAAATTGATTAATTATTATGATTTTTATAGTCTATGTTATTTTACTTTATGAACTTTGACCTTAAATATTTTTATTTGTGTTATGTATTACTTGATAAAACTTTTAACATTGAATAGACATTTAAAACACAATTCATTCATACATTTTGCATCAAGTATTATATATCTAAAACAAAAATATTTAAGGTCAAAGTTAAAGAATAAAGACTTCAAAAATCAAAAGTAAACAATAAATATGGGACATATATAGTATTATGCATACATCCTCCGTTGTAAGATATGTAGCTCATCCATTTTTTTTATTTCATACTATAGTTAATTAGTATCTACTTATATAAATCTTTTATTTGTATTATTAATATTCATAGATGTGACATCCCAAAATTCACGGCCAGAAAAGACCGATTTAGTTTATGTTTTTTTAAAAATAAAATCAGAGTAATCCTTTGATTAAAAGTGTTGCGGAATTTGTTCCCAGAAAACATGATAAATACTTTATCATAGCATCTCCGAAGAGATGCATTTTTTTCGTTTCAAAACATTTAGGATGTCTTGGTCAATACAAACACATAAACATAAACCGAACTTACATTCATCTACACTAATGATATACGTCTCTTTAATCTCTCAGTGTAATGTGTCTTTGTATCGATACCTGTGATACAAAAATATTGAGTGGGTCAGGTTGGGAAAATCTGGTGAGTACATAGGGATTTCAATCTCACAATGTTATAACATATATATAATTTAGAATTCACACAATATAAAATTTTCTCTCTATATATATAACCAACTCTTACCCCCACCCCGTCAATCCTCTCAACTAGACTATCCATACCCTTGAACCTTAAATTTTAACTCTTACTCCCGGATCTAATCCATATACTCTAGTCCATGATTGTGCCCATTCCATACTCCCGGATAAGGGACAATTGGTCTATGTCTAAATCCATACTCCCGGACTAATGACAGATTCTATGTCCTGTCCATACTCCCGGACTAAGGACAACTGACTATGTCTTAATCCATACTTCCGGATTAATGACAAATTCTATGTCCTGTCCATACTCCCGGACTAAGGACAACTGACTATGTATTAATCCGTACTCTCGGATTAATGACAACTGACTAAGTCTTAATCCATACTCTCGGATTAATGACAATTAACTAAGTCCAATCCATACTCTCGGATTAGGGACGAATAACTATGTCTAATCCATGCTTCGGGATCAATGACATATTTTAAAGTTCTATTCTCCGTATATATCTCACTCGTACTCATAAATAGATACTACCCCATAAACATTATAACAAACCTTAGGTTTACTCTTTAACCTAAGTTATCATAAACAATCAGGTATGTTCTTTAACACTTAATTCAGACATCATCAAATAACTCACACAAAACATATATTTAATACATTCAAACAATACTTGTATTAAAATCATGTTCATGAAAGGGACTATGCACTCACATGATAAGACGATGATCGGACAGCAGTACGACTCTATAAAGTAATATTCTTCGATGAAACCAGGATATCTTCAAAAACCGGGCTTCACGCGGGCAAAGTTTCGGCTCGAAAACTCTTTTTCTCGGGATCTTCGAGGCTTCGGGACTTGCTTCAGGTGTCGGGGATGGTATCGGGACTTAGGGGGGTTAAAAGTAGGCTAAAAGAGTGTTTAAAGTGAAAGAGAAATGAGAATTGGTAACATAAACCCGGAGGGCTCGATTTCTATTTATAGGCTGAAAAATCGACTCTCACGTCGTGAATCATGTATGTTCACGTCGTGACTTTGATCCTGGTCATCCCCTAGGATTTTCGTGTGTCTTCTAGGCTCGAAACGCGTCGTTCACTGAGTTCACATCGTGAACACTGTGTCCACGTCGTGAATGCAGTCAAATTCTCGAAGTTTGTGCTCCGAACTTCAAAAATCCATATCTTTCGCATACGAGCTCCGTTTTTGACGTTCTTTATATCCGCGCGTAGGTGAGATTATGATCTACAACTTTCATTTAGACTCCGTCGGCTAAATTTTTGACTTTATTTTTAATATTATATTATATTATATATTTAACGGGCCGGGACAGGAAAAGTCCGTTAAAATTTCATAACTTCTTCATCCGACGTCCGTTTTCGTCTGTCTTTTTATCTTTACGCTACTATTAACGAGATCTTCGATTCTCGTTTAGGTTGTGTCGGCTAAAAATCGCTCGATCTAATATTCAAATTTCGGACTGCATACTGCTAAGTCGAAACTTCGAAAAATCATAACTTCCTCATACGAAGTCAGATTTGGGCGTTCTTTTATGCACGCTCTCGGTTTTGCGTATTCTACGACTTTCGTTTAGATCTCTAAGGCCAAATATCGCTCTATCGCAAATTCACTATTTACGTCGCGCTGTGTCGTGTCGGTTCTGTCGCGAAACTTCGACAGGTCATAACTTCTTCGTTATAACTCGGATTTCAGCGTTCTTTATATGTACGGAATCCTTGTAACATATACTACAACTTAGTTAAGATTACTCCTTATAAATAATCTTCCATCAAAAAGTCATTTTTGACGCTCATTGTCCTTAAATTGACTAGCCCGAATCTGCGGGCGTTACAATAGAGTAGATTATGAATCCATTCCTTGCAGTAACATAGAAATGATAAGTGTGGTTTGAAGCAAAATCCATATTTAATCTTTTTTTAATCAACATGTATACTACACGAGACTAACACCTAATAATATTAACAACTTGAAACAAAGAAACATAGCTCTATCTTCAAGAAAAATGTAAATACACCTTATTTTTCCATATTAAAAAATATAACATAACATATTGGATTACTTTCAAAAGTTGTCAATATGATGAATTGATGACCTACTATTAAAACTAAAATTATAGTTTATTTAGATTTTTAAATGTGGTTATGTCTTATTTATTTGGACATAAACAAATAATTTTTTTTTACCTTTTTTAGATCTACTTGAGCAATGGATCTGATTGTGGTTACAAACGTTTTAACGTTTAATACTTGATGGATGAATGTTTTGTTTGTTTTGAATTTCAAGTGGTTTGTAATTGTTGAGTTGATTTGCATGATTAACAATATATGTTAAAATATGTTGTTTTAAGTTGATCGATATTTGGTAATAACAAAAAAACTAAGAATTTCGGATATCCGTTATCGATATCCGAAAATTCAGATATCCGAATTTCGGATACGGATTCAGATATCGATAATCCACTATCCGAATTTTTAGATATCCGAATTTTCGGATATTCGGTTTTGAACACCTCTAGTTCATATCTTTTGTCAAATTTACCATTACTTCACTTATTTTCACATTTGCCTAAAAGGTTGACATAACAAGTCCTCATTCATCAATTATATAATTTTGGTGGTCATATATATTAATTGAGTTAACCCTTTTGTCAAACTCACTTTGCAAACTTGACATTTTTGCCCCTTTAACTTTTAAAATGTTATTATTTTCACTTCTAACTTTCTAAACTTCTTATCAAGTAATGATATGATTATTCCTTGATGATTTAATTATATACAAATCATCTTTCATTTATTACTTTATAAATTTAAGAACCTAGTCTTAAATTTTAGTATATTACAATTGTCTACCCTTTAAAAAGATTTCGTCCTCAAAATAAAATCGAAGGTTAGCACCTTGAGACTCCTTCTTATGAAGGTTAGCACCTTGAGACTCCTTCATGCAGTACACACTGCTTCAGATGTTGTACCTTGGGAACATGTGATGAATCTGTTTAAGGGAATCATGTTCAACACGAGCCTCAACATTCTGTTTATTACTAAGGTTGTTTTACATATATGAACTCGTAACAGAAAAATGCATAGGAGAACTAACGGTTACTTGAGACAAAAAATTTCCTTTGTGTGTATACTTACGTAAAGGATCGAATATGATCGAGTACAAATATCATGCACCTTCTTGTCTATATAAATCTTTTTACCTAAAAGATCTACGATATCTTAAGGGGGGGGGGGGGGGGGGGTCAACTATGTACTATACTTTAACCAGTTTTGATGAACTACATCTATGCATTCATGTTTCTTAATCATTTATCAAGTTTTGAACCTTATATGGTTTATGATGGTCGATATGTTTAATGTAAACCTTCTAATACAAATCAGTTGAATATACACAAAAAATATGTGTTTTCTGTCGTCCATTTGTAATACAGTGTAATAGTACGAGTTCACTTATGGATGTCAGTTGTTTCATCCTAAACAACTGTAATCCTATCGTCGTTGGCCAAAAGATATCCAAATTGCGGGCATGTGGCAATTTTGATGTCATATTATGGCGTGAGACCCGTTCCCCAAAGTTTGTCTCATTGTGTATTAAAGGCGATACGGTAATTTTAATGTCATGTTTTGTTGTGTCTTAGTTTTACCAAATGTTTTCGGAAAACTCACTTTATTTGAACTATAGTCTTACTATATATATACAATAGTGATCTAGTTTAATGTTGTATATCAAACACTATCTTATAGAACAGAAAGTAAATAAACTTAATTTTCATTTAAATCCGTTGATATATTTTGTGTAAATATACATAGACAAAGGTATTTTTATTACTATGCCGTACAAAATTCAACCCTTTTTCTCTCTCACTTCTTAAGTCGCGTCGGGTCGAAATACGTCTCTTCTTGCTTATCGACGTGGTGCACAAATCCTGACCAAATCAAGGTATGTGCACTGCGATCTATCGTTAGCCTTCGCTTAATCATTGCTTAATTTTAATCAATTTAGGGTTCTTGATTTAATTGCGGTTTTGCAACAATCGGAATTGATTGTTGCAAAGAACGATGCTTTAATCCATGTTGTTATGCCATGGATGATTGCCGTAGCTTCTTTAGCTTTTGAATTATTCAATTTTAAGGAAAAAGACAGTCGATGTTGATACACATCGAGTTTGGGGTTTTGGGGCTTGAAAATTTGAAATTTCTCGTAAATGGGAATCGAAATTGCGGTTTTAATGTATTAATTCTTTTACGTTTTCTTGGCAATTGAATTGCAAATTATGTTTTTCTATTAGCGTTATGGATTTGATGTGGGTGCCTGGGTGGAAATAGTTGGGATACTTGTTGGGTAGGTTTCATATCTTGCAGAATCAAATGTGAATCCAAAATGTTGACTGATTACAACTTATTGATAGATCCCCCAAAAGAACTCATTTTTATCATCTATATTAGACTTACTATTGCCAAATTGATAGGGTCGTTCTTACAATTCTGATACAATGTGATATGTTCTGGTTTTACTAGGCAAAATTGAAGCTGAATCTTGATACAGATTGAGGCGTATATGATCAGGCCTCACTTCTCCAACCTCTGGAGTTGTCACATTTTGTTATGAAACATATTTTAGCAAAAAGGGGACAGGATAAAAATGAATTTACAGACTCAAATGGCAGGACAATTCTCAAGGCAAGTTTCCAATCAAGCTGGAACTTCATTGCCTGCAATACCACACCAACAGAATATGATTCAGAACTCTGAAGGTTCCCATGCTTCACTAATCATGGAACCTGGTTTTGATAAAGCTCGAAGATTCATACAAGATAGAATGTAAGCTCTGCTCTTCTTTTTCAACATTGTTTAGTTAGTTATAAATTAAATCCTGATGAAAAACATTAATCTTTTTTTTTCTCTAGCTATGAGTTCCTAATGCAAAGGCAACAAACTCGGGAGATAGCTCCAAAGAATGTTCTTGATATTGTTAGACGATTGGAGGAAGGCTTATTCAAAACTGCTACAACAAAGGTTTTCTTTTTTCTTCTTCTTGTAACATATGATTTATGATACACATACAGACTTTATAATTTATATGTATATATATGTTGTTGTTTTAGGAGGAATATATGAGTTTAGATACATTGGAGACTCGTTTACATAACCTGATAAGACGCCCCACACAACGATATCAGCAACAAAATAATGCTTCTGGAATGGGAACAATGATTCCAACTCCTGGTGTCCCTCAAAGTGGGAATATGATTCCATCATCTACTGATGTCATGGTGTCATCATCAGCTGTAAATCCAGGAAGCTTTTCCATGAACAGCCAAATGATGCCTACTCCTGGATTTAATAATACTAATAATACCACAAATAATGTTTCTATGCTTTCAAATGTTGACTCAACAATGGTGAGTCAACCACAGCAACAAAAGCAACAAGTTGGTGGTCAAAACAGTCGGATCTTGCATAGTTTAGGGAGTCATATGGGAGGGGGAATCAGGTCTACATTGAATCAAAAAACCTACGGGTTTCAAAACGGGTCATTAAACAGTAACAATCTAGGGATGATGGGTAAAAGTCAACAGATGGTCAACAGTTTGGGAACATCCGAAGGGTTTTTGACAGATTACGGAAACGCCCCTAAACCAGTTCCAGTTCCTCAATACTTTGATCAACATCAAGGACAGATGGTGAATGATGGATCAGGTAATTTTTATGTCCCCGCCACGTCAGCTTCATCAATGATGAACATGAACACGAACACGAACACGAACACGAACACGGTAAATTTATCAGCGTTACAAAAGACAAATTCGCCCTTGGTGGTCAACCAGTCAACCGACCATCAGCCTGCAAACATGAATCAATCTGAAGAGATGGACTTCAGGAACACCATGCATTCACAACAGCCTCTTCACTTTCAGCAACAAGTTATTCAACCTCAAAGACAACAAAAACAACAGAATCAGCGATTCCAATATGGGCAGAATCAGAATCAGAATCAAGTAATCTCCGATATGGGAAATCGAATAAAGTCCGAGCCTGGAACGGAATCATTACAGCCACCACAAGTCTATGAACAATTCCAGTCATCTATCTCTCAAGATACACGTTTACCACTGCCCGAAACTTCCGGGCAGCAACAACAGCCTAACTTTGGAGGTCAACAAGAGGCAGGTCAATGGCAGTCAAGATCTCAAGGTGTTCTGTCAAATGAGGTGAAAAGACCAATAGACCCTCCAGATACTACACCTGTATCTAGATCTGGTAATTTAGACCGTGAATTACAATTCAAGAATCAAAAAAGGTGGTTGTTGTTCTTGATGCATGCCCGAAAATGCCCTCATCCGCCCGGAAGTTGCCCGGAATCGAATTGCCTTACTGCTCAAAAGCTGTTGAATCATATTTCAACATGTATGGATGTAAATCAATGTACATATCCTCGTTGTCATAGGACAAAACGATTACTCCATCATCATAGAAAGTGTAGGGATGAAACATGTCCTGTTTGTGTCCCTGTGAAGCTCTTTGTACAACAGAAGGGCGTACAGGGGCAAAATAGTAAAAACATGAATTCATCTGTTGTTCAAACTTCAGAAGATTTACATCCGTCCATGAAACGGATGAAGATTGAGCAACAGCCATGTCAGTCGCCAGCTGGACAAACCGAAAACCAGGTAACATCATCGGGTCCCACTCCCATCACTACCAGTACATCTGAAGTTTTACAGGACGTAAAGCGGGTCCCACCTCAAGAGGTTACCGTGGTGAAAATGGAAGTTCCTGTAACTTCTGTTCAAGAAAGTCTTAAGATCACTACCGATGTTGCTTCTGTTATGTTAAATGATGCGGGCCCGGCCAAACAAGAAAATGATGAAATCGCCCCTGGAACGAAATCCGGGAAGCCAAAAATAAAAGGGGTATCGATGACGGAATTGTTTACACCAGAGCAGGTTCGGGAGCATATAACCGGTCTCAGGCAGTGGGTTGGCCAGGTCAGCTTTTTATATCAATCAAATTATGGGTAAAAAAATATGAAGTAATTCCTGCAACTTACCCTTTTTTTTTTCTAATATTTGTTATTTGTTGTATAGAGTAAAGCGAAGGTAGAAAAGAATCAAGCAATGGAGCTATCAATGAATGAAAATTCATGTCAGTTATGTGCGGTTGAAAAGCTAAATTTTGAACCACCTCCTATATATTGTTCACCATGTGGGGCCCGCATAAAAAGAAACGCAATGTTTTACACAATTGGAAGTGGTGATACACGTCACTATTTTTGTATACCCTGTTATAATGAAGCACGTGGGGACACTGTAAGTGTTGATGGAACTAATATCTTGAAAGCAAGGTTAGAAAAAAAGAAGAATGATGAGGAGACTGAAGAACCGGTATGCTACACTATATATATATTTTTATTGAGTTATAAAAAATTTAAATAATGGGTATAAAAATTTACATGATGCTATGTTACAGTGGGTTCAATGTGACAAATGTGAAGCGTGGCAACATCAAATATGTGCTTTATTTAATGGAAGAAGAAATGATGGGGGACAAGCGGAATACACGTGTCCAAATTGTTATATGGAAGAAGTTGAGAATGGGGAGCGGGTCCCACTACCTCAAAGTGCACTTCTTGGAGCAAAAGATTTGCCAAGAACTATTCTTAGTGATCATATTGAGAACCGATTGTTTAAGAGATTGAAGCAGGAAAGACTAGATAGGGCCAGGTTTCATGGGAAAAGTTATGATGAGGTAGCTGATTGTGATTATATGGTTTTAGTTATTATTATTATTTTTTTAAATAAATATGAATTTTGTTGGTATTATTAGGTTCCTGGAGCAGAATCACTTGTTGTGAGAGTTGTTTCATCTGTCGACAAAAAATTAGAAGTGAAACCAAGGTTTCTTGAGATCTTTCAAGAGGAAAATTACCCTTCGGAATTCGCATATAAATCTAAGGTATTTGCTATACATATTATTTATATATCATTAAAGTTGAGCAATTACTCAATTACTAAATGTGTTATATATATATATATATATATATATATATATATATATATATATATATATATGTTGTTGTAGGTGGTATTATTATTTCAAAAAATCGAAGGGGTAGAAGTGTGTTTATTTGGGATGTATGTACAAGAATTTGGAGCAGAATGTGAACAACCAAATCATCGACGTGTTTATCTGTCTTATTTGGATTCAGTCAAATACTTTAGACCCGAAATAAGAACAGTAACAGGGGAAGCCTTACGTACATTTGTATATCATGAAATTTTAATCGGTTATTTAGAATACTGCAAATTACGTGGTTTCACAAGTTGCTACATTTGGGCATGTCCTCCATTAAAGGGTGAAGATTATATCTTATATTGTCATCCAGAAATCCAAAAAACACCAAAATCCGATAAACTAAGGGAATGGTAAGTAAAATTAATTATCATGACTTGAATTGAATTAATTTTATATTTATTGACATGAATTGTTTTTTGTTTTGGTTGGTTATTTTAGGTATTTGTCGATGTTGAGAAAGGCTACAAAGGAGAATATTGTGGTGGATCTTACGAATTTATATGATCATTTTTTTGTGTCTTCTGGTGAATGTAAAGCTAAAGTTACTGCAGCTCGTTTGCCTTATTTTGATGGTGATTATTGGCCTGGAGCTGCTGAAGATATTATTTACCAGCTTAGACAAGAAGAAGAAGGAAGGAAATTAAATAAAAAAGGTGCAATGAAAAGAACTATAACAAAAAGAGCTTTGAAAGCTTCCGGTCAAATGGATCTTTCTGGAAACGCTTCAAAAGATCTCCTTCTCATGCATAGGGTAATTTTAAATACACCATATTGTTATTCCTATTATTTTCTTAAACATGATTTGTGATTTAACTTTTTTACAGCTTGGTGAAACCATATCCCCAATGAAGGAAGATTTCATAATGGTTCACTTACAGCATGCATGCACTCATTGCTGTCTCCTTATGGTCTCTGGAACACGTTGGGTTTGCAACAATTGCAAAAATTTCCAGCTTTGCAACAGGTAATAATAATCTAATATTCTACAGTACAACCTGTTCTGTTCTGTATAACAAAACGGGCCCCGCATGTTTGTTTGTTTGTTGCAGTTGTTATGAGATTGAACAAAATATTGAAGAGAGAGAAAAACATCCTATTAACCAAAGGGTCAAACATCCACTTTATCCTGTAAGTTTTTTTTTTTTTTTCCTTAAAATAAAACTTGTAACGTTTTACAAAAAATTTGGGTGATTTATACACAGGTTGAGATTAAGGATGTGGCTACAGATACAAAGGATAAAGATGAGATTCTTGAGAGTGAATTTTTTGATACGAGACAAGCGTTTCTGAGTCTATGCCAAGGAAACCATTATCAATATGACACGTTAAGACGTGCTAAACATTCTTCAATGATGGCATTGTATCATCTCCACAATCCAACAGCTCCTGCTTTTGTGATCACATGTGTTGCATGTCGGTTGGATATAGAAACCGGGCAGGGTTGGAGGTGTGAGATCTGCCCGGATTATGATTTGTGTAATGCGTGTTATAGAAAAGATAGAGGAATCGATCATCCTCATAAGTTGACACATCATCCTTCCATTGCTGAACGTGATGCACAAAATAAAGAAGCCCGACAACTACGGGTTGTCCAGGTAATTTATAATACATATTTATTATATAAATATTAAATATAATAATAAAAGAAAAGAAGAATGAAAGTAGAAATGATTTGTTGGTTGTGTAGCTTCGGAAAATGCTTGATCTTTTGGTGCATGCGGCTCAATGTCGGGCACAGTTATGTCAGTATCCAAATTGTAGGAAGGTGAAGGGGCTTTTCAGACATGGAATGCATTGCAAAGTACGTGCATCTGGTGGTTGTCTTCTTTGCAAGAAAATGTGGCATCTTCTTCAGCTTCATGCCAGAGCTTGTAAAGACACTCCATGCAATGTCCCCCGTTGCAGGTATTATGTGATGTGCTTTTAAACCATACCATAAAAACAAGACTATGACTATGACTATGACTATATATGCTTAAGTTGCATTTATCATGATGAATGTTGTTAATGTACAGAGACTTAAGGGAACATTTGAGAAGGCTGAATCAACAGGCGGACAGTAGGAGGAGGGCGGCGGTTATGGAGATGATGAGGCAGCGTGCGGCGGAGGTTGCTGGCGGCAGTGGGTGATGGATGGATGGATGAGTCATCAAACTGTAAATATAACAACAACATATTTGGATCAGTCAGGGTCTCAATGTACAGTTTTGGTTGTTTTGCTTTGCTTGATTGGATCAAAGTTCAAGTATAATTTTGGCTGCTGAAAAGAGTACGTAGTCACAGACAAGACTATTTCTTCAAGGTTTCAGCAACTTAATTTAGGATTTTTTTTATGGAGAATAAGAAACATCAAAGAAACTTTTTTTTTTTTTTTGTTCCTTCCTTGGGTTTTGTTAGGTCGTGCAAATATGTTATGATACAAACTCATTTCGATAGGTTACCATCCATTTGTTTTACAGTGGCTAATTTATTTTTTAGGCTTCATCAGTAATTTGCTCAATTTTTTCTAATTTGATCATCAGATTCACATAAAAAAATTTAGGCTTCATCAGTAATTTGCTCAATTTTTTCTAATTTGATCATAAAAATTGATTAAGTTTATGATTATTATGATTTTAATTTTTAGAGTTATTTTTTATAGTAATGACAGAAGACTTTCATGTTTTCCATGGACGAAATGTCAAAATCAAGTCCATATCCTGTCTTTTTGGTGGACAAAAAGTTTCGATTTGTCGCTACATTATCGAGTCTATAAAAAGACTTGTACAAAATTCAGGGTGGAAATTATTTTGGTATCAACATTTTAAAATACAATAACGGGGTTCAATGTACTTGGGGTAAAAGTTATACCGATCATCTCTGTTATATTATTTTCTAAATTTATAGAGATGCAAAAAAATAAGGCACTCTTGGATGGATGTATCTTCAATTAGTATAGATAAAATATGATTCAAAGATAGCCTTGTAATAATAATTACCAATGATAAATTTGTGATTAACGAAATGATTTTATAGAACCATATATGATGGTTTATGGTTTGCGTATGTATTTTAAACATGTACATGAGAATGTATAGAATAGTTGGGGCAAAAATTATAACGCCATTTCCAAACTAGTTTCACCTTCACAAGATTGCTAACAAACTGAAAAATCAATCTCTCATACATTACGCAACAAAACATTGTTATTGATTATGAAAAGATCTAATGCAAATCACTCCCTACTAATAGACAGACACGAAAGAGAAGTTTTTCAAAAAATAAAATGACTAGAAAAAAAGATACAATTTGGAACCATATATATATATATATATATATATATATATATATATATATATATATATATATATATATATATATATATATAATACTATGTTGTTTACTTAGACATGAGTGCTTGTGCATCGGATATTGATGGAAGTGCGGGAATGGCTCCTTTCTTAGTTGTACATATTGCTCCACAAGCGTTTGCTAGTTTCAGTGCCTCCTGTAGCTTCCCTTCGTCCTACCAAATACAATAAATTTTTATTGAAAACTGATTAAACCAATAAATTTATTTTAAATTTTCTTCGACTTCTCCAACTCTAACATTTTCTATTATCAAATTTGATTTGAAAAATGGTACACTTGAATAGTTTACAGATAATTTAAATTATCCTCCACGTGTTTACAAATTATTATTATATTAATAAAAAAAATCGAATCATTACGTTGACAATAACACATTTAATTATATTAATATAATTTAAATATAAATAGTCTTTGGACACGTTAAAATGAAATGAATTTAAAAGTTTTACCGTAAAAATGGAATTGTCCTTGGCAATGGAACACAAAATGGAGCCCACAAACGAGTCTCCTGCACCTGTTGTGTCTACTGCTTTCACAGAGAATCCACCAACTTTTCCCTTCAAATTCTACAAACAATCAACCAATAAGAATTCAAATGATTAATTAATCCATTCATCAGATTCATATTCATATTCATATTCATATTCATATATGCATAATACATACATACCTTGGTATAATATCGGCATCCTTTCTCCCCATCTGTAACAACCATAAGCTTCAAGTGATCACGCCACAATGACTTCACTGCTTCTTCGCTATCGGAATCTTTCTGTGTCAAGAATGCCACCTCGTCGTCGCTCACCTACGTACAACCACCGTCCACCGTCGTCATAGTGAATTATTTAGGTTTAAAGTATGTGGAAATCAATACCTTGATGAAATCAGCTTCGTTCCAGATACTCATAATACCATGTCTGGCAGCCTCCGGTGAAGGCCAAAGAGGAAGGCGGACGTTAGGGTCGTAAGAGAGGAGGACCCCAGCTTGCTTGGCGGTTTTCATGGCGGCCATGTGAGCCGACCTACAGGGCTCCGTAATGAGGCTGATTGACCCGTAATGGAAGATCTTCGCATTCTTAATCAAATCCATGTTCAGTTCAGACTCTTTCAACAGCATATCAGCGCTAGGGTTCCGATAGAACATAAATTCCCTTTCTCCATTCTTCTTTAGCGTCACGAATGCAAGAGCCGTTCTCGCATGCTCATCGAACAAAACTCCGTCCGCGTTTACTCCGTTCTTCTTCAGTATGTCTGCTAACATGTATCCAAACTCATCTTTCCCAACCTGTGTTCCATACGTAAATAGAAATCCATGAGAATAAAACGTTAAAAATTCCCAATCTAATCTTAATCACGCAGATGGCAGATCCGATGAGATGAACGTGAAATTGATGAAATGGCTGAAATGTAATTACCTTGCCGATGAAAGCGGAGGAGCCACCGAGCTTGGTGATGGCACATGCGACGTTTGCAGGTGCGCCGCCGGGGGCTTTGAGGAATCCTTGAGACTCGGCCAAGGAGACTCCGGCGGTATCTGGGACGAAATCGATCAATATCTCTCCGAAACATACAATGGATGCCATGTCGTCAGGGTTGATAATGGATTGATTCTGTGTTGGAAAATGGTGAAAATGATGATTGATGAAGAATGGTGATCGGAGTTGTATTCGCGTGAAGGTGTATATGTATATATATAGAAAAAGATGAAGAGAGAGAAGGAAGAAGATCTATAAAGAGGATGGGAGAGATTGGACTTTGACCTCTACATATTTTTGACTTTTTTCTTATCCAATGGACCAACGATTTAAAACCCAAATTATATAAAAAGATAAGTTAAATACGTATTTATATATAACAACATATTTCACATTTTCATAATTATTTTAATAAATGTTTTTTGTATGAATACCGATACGCAACAATATTTTATTTTAAGACCAAAAAATATGATAATTAATTGAAATGTGACTGTAATTTGTGTCGGTTGCATAAATTGAAAAAAATGAATATTGTTGTATAAATTGATAATTTAAGAAGAAAAAAAAGATATGATAAATAACTCGTAAATATTCTGTATATCCATTTATATCCTTTTGTAAAATTAGCTTATCTGTTCTTCCTGTTTTGTAACCTACTTTGTTGGGAAATCAATAGGAAAACATTCTCCTTTATATTTGATGTATGATATATAGAATTTATACTTAAATTTGCAAACTTTATCCTTATCAATTATCATATAGATTATAGACAGTATTTGCCACGTCGTACTCCTTGATGATCCTTATCATGTATAACAAACTTATTATTGACCCATATATGGATGTTTTAGTTTACAAATTAAGACAAAAGAAATCAAAAGAAAAAAAAAAAATACACTCGAATATACTTGAGATTGAGCCAATCTTCCCACCATCAATGGCCTAATAATTACTTTTATATAAAACTTATTTGGTTATTAATTATATTCTATATTTATCAAAAAATTAACAAATATACTAAAATACATGAGTCCTCTCTAATAAATGAAGGTTTTTTTTGCCACTTGTCACACTCTCATTCAATTGTCAAATGTCATTTTGTAGTTATTTTGAATTAATTTTTTTCCACATGTCTAAATGAAGGTTTTTTTTGCCACTTGTCACACTCTCACTCAATTGTCAAATGTGGTTATTTTGAATTAATTTTTTTTCTACATGTCATTTTATTAGTTTTTTCTATTTTATTAAATTTCACATAATACTTTAATATAATAATTGCAATAAATGTAGTAATAAATAGATATCAATTTCATTAATGAACTTACCTTTTAAATTCAAAATTTTCAAAATTAAAGCTTATTAGTTTCTTTTATTTATTTAAATTATTTGTTTAAATTTAAAAGATAAAAAACAATTCTATTATAATAATTCATTATTTTTTTCTTATAAATTCAAAGTTCTCAAATATTTTGACTTTTATATTTAACTTTTTTTTTAAATTAACACATGTAATACATGGTTCTCACAACTAGTAACTAATATCGATAAGTTTTCATATATTTTTTTTATAGATAGTTACATCAATGGTCCTTATGATTGGTAAAAAAAATACCACTACAAGTTATTTTGATGAATTTTGAAGGTGATTGATCCTTGAGAGTTTAAAATGTTTATGCTAAAAATACTAATAATTCGTTACAAATAAATATATTTTTAAGTAAAAGCATGTGTTTGTTTATAGATAAGAAAGATTATACCCTTTTTAATAAAATAGCGAGTTAGTTTGAAAAAGATTATCTTAAGGCACGTTTGGTTCAAAGATTCAAGTGGAATCCAAAGGAATTGGATGCGTTTGGTTTGGTTTTCAAATGGACTGAATTGTGGATCGAATCAGTGAATATGTATCGTATTGATTTTATGATTCCTAAGGGTAAGCCAAAAAAAAACCTAAATTCCATGATCCTTTTTTTATACCAAAATGACAAAATTATGTGCTCTTCTACTTTGTCAACATTAACCACTCTACTACTAAGGCAGCCTACTATATTTCTTCACAAGTAATGTTCATATAATATGCAAAAATAGCTATTTATAACTAACATAATGATATCTATTAATTTACTTAGACCCATGTGCAAAGGAAAAAAAAAAAAAAAAAACTTAGAGAAATTAAATATCCTCCTACATTTTCTTCCTACCAATCCTCCTACCCATTTAAATGATGACATGTGTCATATTAGTATCCTAAATATTATTAAATTTTATTAAATAAGCATTAAATATTACACATATCATCATTTAATTGGGTAGGATGATATGTAGGAACAAAAGGTAATAGGATATTTAATTTCTTATAAAGTAAAATAAACACAACTCCACAATCTTATTTTATCAAAAAAACCTCATCTCAATTCTCGCATCACATACACATACAAATTGACAAAAAAAAAAAAGCAAGTGAATCCTTAAAAATGTTTACAAATCAATGAAGGAATGATGATGTTCTAGAATGTCCTGGAGTACTTTCTGATTTCATACATTATGGATGATATGGAAACAAGATCTTTGTTAAGAGCGGACCCACCTGCAATCCTCTTCATGCAATCAGAGAGTCTTGTATAATACAGTAATAGCTGTGTTAAAGCTGCTCTTAATATCTCCATCCCACAAAGAAAGTTGCTGAATGAAGTGATGACATCACCATGCATCAACTCAATTGCTGCTTTCCATCTGCTTCCAAAGTCTTTCACCAGCGGCTCCACTTCTGCAACCATGATTGCTGCTTTATCCGAACTCCCCTCCTCAGCTGCAAACCATTTTTATTTTTAACCAAAATGACCATTTTACCCTTCACTCAAAAACACAAACCACACTTACATGCTCGGGTTTTTACAAACTTGATGAGATTGCCAAAATGTTCCACCAGCAACTCTTCCTGTGACAAATAGGAAAATACTTCATCCATACTTATACCATAAAGACGAAAATGCCCTTCACCCCTTAAGTCAAACTCAAACAACTTACGACATAAACAGCTGTATTATTTTTCAAAAGTTCTTCAAAATGGAGCTGAATTTTCCCACCTTCGGGACCCGCTTCCTGGAAACCAAAATCAAATACATCAATAATAATTTTTTATAAATAATCATGTGATTATTAAAATAAAATGAAAGAAATTGCATCTATTATACCTTCAAAACTGCAATTGTCATGTCATAGTTGTTGATAAGAAACACAGTCTGCAGTTTTGGCTTTGTGAAGGTTTTTGCAAGCTTAATAAGCAAGTCATCTATAGCCATTTTGAGTCTTTCCATGTTCAGATCAAGCTATAATTATTTATAAATCAATTGCAAAGTATTCAAAAAAATAATATAATAATAATAATAATCAGTTGTTTGACTTTGAGTTTGACTGCTGACCTGGCCATCACCATAGTCAACATTAAGTTGAATAAGTGAAGCTGTAAATTCAGCATAACGCCTCATGACATAATGTGGATGCACATCATCTTCCCATAATGTTTTCACATTTGCATTTCTCAGACTGTTGATGTGCATGTCAAATATCATCTTGAAACGTGGCCATAATGATATATTAACCTAAGTTTTTTTTTTTTTTTTTGAACAAGAAAAAACTGAAATTAAAATGATGTAATAGAGATAAATAAATGAAAATAGTATGAACTAAAAACAAATAAATGAAAGTACATACATACCTTGTCTAAATAAGAATCAAGACACGGAATCCTCCTCCTAGACATTATGAGCTGAAAAAAAATAAGAAAAAACGACTCAATGTATAAAAAATATACAAACGTAATTCTTTATAACAAGGAAATTTAAAATTTTCTAGATAAATTATTCAAAAGAAAAATTATAAGATTCACCTGGTGTTGGTGTGTGATGCGAATCATAAGCATTATACCAATTGCATCAAAGCAATTTGGAAGAATTGTACCAAAATGCTCATCCATTACAGTAAATGGCCCTGAAAAAAAAAACCAAAAATATATATATTTAAATAACTGATATACAATTACTGCAGATTATTCATCATTAGAATAACTACCTGAAAATATATCTAAAAATACAGATTCTTCTCCAAAAAAAATCCCCACAGAAAACATATCTGTACATCATAAAAGTTAATAACCATTTTGGTGTGTGTGTGTGTGTGTGTGAGAGAGAGAGAGAGAGAGAGTGTGTGTGTGTGTGTGTGTGTGTAAAAAACAAATATACAGTACTCTGAAGTAGCAGTGTCCATAAGCAGTTTATGCAAGCTTCTGAAGAGGACTTCATATGGATATTTTTTGGAGCTTGCTTCAGCAATATGTGGAATTAATGAAGGCTCATCAATTTCCTATATATCATATCAGTAATAAACAAACATAACTTAAATGCCAGCTGGCAAGAAAACAAACAACAATAACTTGAATTAAAAAAAAATACCTTGAGAATATTTATCCTATCTCCAAGAGCAAAAATAGCAGACCGATTTTTCAAAGGCTCTCTTCCTCTTGAAAAAAGACTCGTGCTTCTGGTGTCTACACCTATCAAGTCAGTGGGACCCGCTATATCTAGCTGTAATTTCTCCAATGCTTGAATATATGCACGAAAATGAGCACTTAACACCTGCCACATTATCACCAAATTTTTATAAACACGGAATAACGTAGAGAAATACCAAATATACCCTTACTAATTACTATGTCTACCTTGTTCATTGTATCAGTATATGCTACACGCACTTCATTATAAATCTCCTTTCCATGTTCCTTGAGAAAAGTAATTACATATCTGCATGGGTATATATTACATATGGAAATAATAATGTATTTAATAAATAATAATAATCCATAAGCATGTTGCTATTATGGTGAAAAGTTAGAAGAGAGGACTCACTTATATTTCAACAGGATGCTCTGCTGAAGAATCTGGATATTTGTTTTAGGTTTCCTCAAAGCATAAAGCTTCTGAATCATGAATTCAAATACCTAAAAAGTGGAAAGAAATTTGTAAAAAATTACAGGAAACAAAGTGAGATCATGTGAAGAATGTAAAAGGAAATGGATGAATATGTATTTTACCTTTGAAATTGCTTTTTGTCTCAATCTTTCTAACTCGGGTTGAACATCTTTTAAAGCATTTGAAGTTTTAACCATGGAATCTACTTCCACAAACTTCAGCTTCTTACTCAAGATCTCAAGAGTCCTCAAGTATTCCTCATTGACCTATAAGAATTTTGTAATATTAAATTTACTAATTCCCTCCAAAAAGAAATGAGTATTGTTCACAAAAAGTACCTCTCCATCAACAATTATTTCTATCATCCTTGGTGGGACAATGATGTCTTCAACAAATTTTGCTAACTTTGATTCTGCCACCTGTAAAATATACCAAAAGGAAATATTTAATCAAAAAAAAAAGTATTACAGAAGATTATAATGGGATTACCTTGCGATTTTTCAGCTTCAGCCCCATATCCAATGATTTCTCCTGAAGAATCTTTATGTCTGAACTAATAGAACCAATCTCAACCTGTCACAAGAAAGTTGAAATACTTTAAAGAATATATAATACAAAAGCTTGAAGAAAATTTCTTTTGAGTCTAGCATAAAATGTGATGAACTACCTGAAATCCACCAAGCAGAGTTTCCATTTGTGAAAGAATGACATCACAATCACGAATTTGATCATGTAGTGACACTAGATTATCACTCTCAGTTATATACTCCTGTTGATAAAAAAGATAGGAAATTACATTAGTAAACTGAAAAAACAAAAAAAAAAAAAATGTAACTCAGCCACCTGCCTGAATAGAGTCCAATTCAACTTGGCGTAAATTGTTTTCAACTCCCTTAGTATACTCCCTCAGTTTCACACCTTTTGATAATATGTTTGCAACAACCTAAATTCAAACAAATAAAATGATATTGTACATGAAAACAATATAACTTTGATAATTATCCATATGAGTATATGACTAAAGGTACCTCATCGGCTTTGCACTCTTCAAGCTCCTGTTGTAGTCCTTCCAATGATATATCATTGCTGAAATAAACCAACCATTGATTTAACTGCATAAAAATCAATATTTAGAGTCAAGGGTAAGAAAATGCACCTGCTTGCATCTTCTTCAATGGTTAAATCACCAACAACAGCTCCCAAATTAAAAACAGATTTACTAGCATCTGTGGTTTCACCTTCAGGTTTAAGCTGAGAACATCAACATATACATGTCACACACAGGGAAAAAGCTAGAACAGATTGAGCAGAACTCTTACCAGTTCGTTTGTTGCTGCTTCCGCCATTTTATTCAGTCAATAGAACAAGTTACAGCTGAAAATGAAGACTTGCAGGTGTGAAAATGGGTATAAGGTTCGATAAAGATTATGGAGCTTTGTCAAATACACGATACAGATCCAGTGACAAGATCCACCAAATGACTGGATTGTCTATCAATCAATCTCCTAATTTCATTCTGAATTTCTAGAAGGGGTCGAGAAGATGTCTGTGAGATGGAGACTCATGGCTACGTAAAGAAAAATATGGACTTATGTGGAATGGAAAAACAAGAAGATAGCTGTCATGATTTTTATCGTCAATTACATGTCTTCCGGTGCAATTCGGACTTCAGATCGAGGAAGGAAAAATCTCTCAAGGAAAAATCATAGCAAATCTCAATCTCGAAAACAACAATTTTATCAGCAATCACAAATCAGAATCCCTTTTAACCTGTTTTACACTAAATACCACTTTTCTTACCTGATGTAGATCGTTGAGTACCGAATGTTAAGTCATTTAGGGAGCGACGGTGGTCAAAATCGACAGCGGAGAGTGTTTCCCTCGACGCGGTGGTGGTCGCCCCTCACCGTCGCCGTAAATTCTTAGAGAGAGATGGTGGTTTAGACTTGTGAGACTGACCGTTTTTGCTTCGAAGGTTGTGTTCATTTCCTTTATTTTAATTTTTTTATATTCATTTTCTTCTATTTTGATTTTTGATTGCTATTTTATTTTGTTAGTCGTTGATTTTGATTCGTAACCCTCCAAACCAAAATCCGATCATAACAACTCACGATGAATCACCAAAACCCACATTTTGATCAACACATCCAATATGAATTGAATCGTAAGAAAGAAATTACAAATTACCTAATTTTATGGAGACTGAAATTGAGGAAAAACACCCGAATCAGCCTTCTTTCTTTTACAGTCAAAAGTGTTTGGTCGACACAGAAGAGAACGATGAGGTTAAAGATCAAAGATGTGTTGGATGTGAGCAGCAAGATGATAAAGATTACAGTAGAATGACAATGCAGCAGGGAAGAAGCAAAAGTGGATTTGTTAGATGTGATCTAATAAAAGTTTGCAAGGATAGAATGAGGAACTTGTTTTGATGATGAATTTTGATGGAATTCAATTCTACTATTTGTCAACCAAATTATGCTATTAATAGCATGGGATAATCCAAATTAACCCAATGTTTGATTTAGAAATTACTTTCCTTTTCATTATTATCAAAAAAAATTATAATGAAAGCATATTTAAGTTTATGTTTGTTAAAAATAAGATAGTTTATTGTAACCATGACACTCGTCGAGATCTCGATGGGATAATGTTTCGCGGGTATAACAAAATAGCAGTCTGAAATAGGGCTCACAAATAGTGGAGCTGGGATTATCGCCGAGATAAGTCATTATTTCAAAACCGATATCTCGTTTTTCTTACTGCTATTTGACATTTAAGTGTTAGTTGGGCTTATTTTACTGATTTATAAAAAAATAGATTCTTTGATATGGATCGGCCCACTATTTGTAATATTCTTAGCTCAGTATCTTTTATGTCCTGTTATGACCTTGTTAGAAGACACCAGGCGTAAACAACAATTTTTTTCTCATTGTCTTCAACACTTCCTTCTCTTTTCTTATTGATGCGATCGACTCCCAAGTCCCACCATCAAATTAAATGACGAGAAGCTAAATCAAAGGGACCAATGAGGTAAGCATCTTATTCCTTTAAGAAATTTTGAGTCTTCCCTCCCCCTCCTTAAGTCCTACTTTTGTTGTTAATCGACGACTTTTATACTCAGACCTCAGTATCTTAGTTAGACAGTTAATGAACTTGCTTGTTTTCTATTACTTGTTTCTTGTTTGTCAATTCTTCTTGATACGTGTTTCGTGTCTGTTAATCAACTATATACATGGAGGGAGTGCATTTAATTTGTAATTAGACCTCGGTTAATGCATTTAATTTGTAATTTGTTATATATAGTTGACTAGTTACTGCATTTAATTTGTAATCTGCTATGTATAGTTGAGTACTTGAGAGGGGGTAAACGTTATCTAACTCTTTTTTTGTGCAACAAGTTTAACTTGTAAACATGGAAGTTCATTCTTCACATGCTTCGACAAATCTAACTCCTACTACTACGTCATGAGATGCCGATACTAAATGCCTAAATGGAGATATGGTTTGGGAGTGGAAAGCTTGGAAAGGTCCCACAAAAAAGGGAATATTCGGTGCATAATTTACGACCGAATATATATATATATATATATATATATATATATATATATATATATATATATATATATATATATATATATATGTGTGTGTGTGTGTGTGTGTGTGTGTGTGGAGCCATCACAAGGTTGAAGCAAGACCTTGCTCATATAAGAGAAATATTCAAATTTCCTAAGGTGACATCAGAGATAATAGAGATAATGAAGAGAGTTCTTGCATGGATACAAGAAAAAGAAAAGAAAAACAAAGAAATATAGAAATTATAAGATCATCAAACACAATAGAATTATTAGAAAACGAGGACGAGGAAGATGAGATATGAGTTAAGGAGGATAGTAAGAAAAGAAACTTTGTAAGTTCTATGTTCACGGTCCACATGATCTGTTTATATGAACGATCGCAAAAAAAGGACAACGGGTAAAAACAATCCAATCAAAGAGAAGTTGAAGAACATTGCATTGAAAAAGTTTGTGATTTGGGCTTATGTGGTTGGCTTACCATTCAATCTTGTACGTGATGAAGGTTTCCAATATGTAATTAATGCATTTCGGCACACCCATTTCGGCCCTCACATGACCATTTTTGTGATAAATTAAGAAAATGCAGCAGGGAAGAAGCAAAAATGGATGCGTTAGATGTGATCTAAGAAAAGTTTGCAAGGATAGAATGAGGAACTTGTTTTGATGATGAATTTTGATTGAATTCAATTCTACTATTTGTCAACCAAATTATGTTATTAATAGCATGGATAATCCAAATTAACCCAATGTTTGATTTAGAAATTACTTTCCTTTTCATTATTATCAAAAAAAAAAATTATAATGAAAGCATATTTAAGTTTATGTTTATTAAAAATAAGATAGTTTATTGTAACCTAGACAGTTAATAGCGTCGAGATCTCGATGAGATAACGTTTCGCAGGTATAGCAAAAATAGCGGTTTGAAATAGGGCTCACAAATAGAGGAGTTGGGATTATCGCCTAGATAAGTCGTTATTTCAAAACCTATATCTCGTTTTACTGCTATTTGACATTTAAATGTTAGTTGGGCTTATTTTACTGATTTATAAAAAATATATTCTTTGATATGGACCAACCCACTATTTGTAATATTCTTAGCCCAGTATCTTTTATGTACCGTTATGACCTTGTCGGAAAACACCAGAAGGAAACAACAATTTTTTTCCCCTTGTCTGCAACACTTCCTTCTTTTTTCTTATTGATGTGATCGACTCCCAAGTCCCACCATCAAATTAAGTGACGAGAAGCTAAATCAAAGGGACCAATGAGGTAAGCATCTTATTCCTTTAAGAAATTTTGAGTCTTCCCTCCCCCTCCTTAAGTCCTACTTTTGTTGTTAATCGACGACTTTTATACTAGGACCTCAGTATCTTAGTTAGACGGTTAATGAACTTGCTTTTTTTCTATTACTTGTTTCTTGTTTGTTAGTTCTTCTCGATACTTGCTTTGTGTCTGTTAATCAACTATATACATGGAGGGAATGCATTTAATTTGTAAGTAGATCACGGTTAATGCATTTAATTTGTAATTTGTTATATATAGTTAGCTAGTTAATGCATTTAATTTGTAATTTGTTATGTATAGTTGAGTAGTTGAGAGGGGGTAAACGTTATGTAACTCTTTTTTGTGCAACAAGTTTAACTTGTAAACATGGAAGGTCATTCTTCACACGCTTCGACAAATCTAACCCCTACTGCCACGTCATGAGATGTCGATACCAAATGCCTAAATTGAGATATGGCTTAGGAGTGGAGAGCTTGGAAAGGCCCCACAAATGCATATTGTGACCGGAAAAAATATATATATGTAGAGGCATCACAAGGTTGAAGCAACACCTTGCTCATATAAGAGAAATATTCAAATGTCCTAAGGTGACACCAAAGATAATGAAGAGAGTTCTTGCATCGATACAAGAAAAAGAAAAGAAAAACAAAGAAATATAGAAATTATAAGATCATCAAACACAATAGAATTATCGGAAAACGAGGACGAGGAAGATGAGATATGAGTTAAGGAGGATAGTAAGAAAAGAAAGTTTGTAAGTTCTATGTTCACGGTCCACTTGATCTGTTTATATAAACGATCGCAAAAAAAAAAAAAAAAAAAAAAAAAAAAAAAAACATCAAAGGACAACGGATAAAAACAATCCAATCAAAGAGAAGTTGAAGAACATTGCATTGAAAAAGTTTGTGATTTGGGTCTATGTGGTTGGCTTACCATTCAATCTTGTACGTGATGAAGGCTTCCAATATGTAATTAATGCATTTCGGTACACCCATTTCGGCCCTCACATGACCATTTTTGTGATAAATTAAGAAAAGATGTTATAGTATGGTTTGCCTTACCTATTTTATCCCATTTTTGTGATTAGCCATATTATTTTCAACTATACTAAATTGCAAATTCGCCAAGTAAAAGACAAGACCTTTTTCACGATTAAGTTATCTAGAACACATGTTGAAAAAATCTAATTTTTTCTAATATGAAACTTTCTAACACTCCTATGATGATAATTTTTAAGGGGTTAAAATTGAAGAAAAACTATTAAACTATGACTCTTATCGACCCGATATTATGTATAATGTGTGTATTTATGTACGCTTTCAATCTATTCTTCAAGAATCTTATCGTGAGGCTGTCAAATGTATTTTTTTTTTCTGCATGTATTCTAAAGATTCATGTATGTCCACTTGAATTGTTTTCAAGTAAGTGGATATTTTCATGAAGGAAACATTAACAAGGTTTGAGTTATTTGGTTTGGGTTATTCGATTATTTAGTTAATTCAGTTTGGTTAACCGAATAAGGATACCTTATTTGATTTGGTTTTGATTAAATTTTCATTATTTTTTTATTTGGTTAACCGAATAAGCTATTTAATTAATATGTATTTTTATAGTTTATATCTATAAGTTAATATTTTATATTTAAATTGATAAGATTATTTACTAAAAAAGATTTCATAACTTATTATTTAATTATTAACCATTATAAATTTATAATTGTTTATATATTGTATTAAAAATAAACAACTAATTAGCCAAATGCCAATTAACCTTCTGTAACATCCGATCTAGGTACAAATCAATTTTCTTGTATTTATTTTAAAAGGGGTGGCCACGACGTGGTGGTGCATCACCACGACGTGGCGGACTATGCGGGGTCGCGAGATTTTAATGACCCGCCACGACTTGGTCTTGGGGCACCACGACGTGGCAGGTGTTTTAGAGGAAACCTTAATTTCGGGTTTTGGACCCTATATAAGGAACATTAAGGCTAGGGTTTCAGCCTCCATCTTCCCCCCAACCTCATAAACCCTAACCCTAGCCTTCATTGAAGTTGTGAGCTCATTCTTGGTGTTTTTTGGTGATTTTAGAAGGAGAAGGAAGCTCTTGGTGAGGTGGCTACTTGGCAAGCATCATTTCTTCATCTAAGCTTATTTCTTGGACCTTGGTGAGTGCCCAAGACTCAACCTTTTCTTGCCATGTTGCTAGATCTCTTGTTTTTGTCCCCTTTATCCATGATTTTGATGGACTTAAGTGATGAATAGTAATCTTGTAGGTTTAACTTGTGAAATTTCTTTTAACATGCGAAAATTATGAGTTTTTTTCATGGTAGGAATATTTAAAGACACAACAAAGAAATAACTTATATTGTTAAAACAAAGTCTTAAAGTTATAGTATTTTATCAAAAAATATAGTGTAAAAATTAGACCTGGTAATGGGTCGATCTAGGTTGGGTTTGGATTCAACCCATTTATTTTCAACCCAACTTGTTTATTTAAATGGGTTAATATTTCCAACCCAACTCAACATTTTAGATAAGTGGGTTCTCACCGG